TACTAGGAACGGGAAAAATCAATTTTAAAAATGTATAGCTACTTACTGAATATTACAATGGATGAAGAGCAAGTGAAAGAAACAATGATAAGATGGGCTAAAACTTCGGTTATTCAATAGAATTAAATAAATGGCAGATATTGTGGGATAGAAATTGTAAACTAACAATGTTGTTGGAAGAAATGTCCATCTGGGTTCAGTTCCAAGTGGGAGAAAAACACTGAAAACATGGATGCTGTTTGGAAAGATGGTTTAATGGTGGACAGGACCACATGGTTTGAGGTTCTGGGCAATTGAGCACATGGGTGAGAGAGAGAGAGAGATTTATACCCACTCTTGGGTTTTGAACTTGCTTCCTTTTCCAGCGAAAGAAATGTATCCTATTGGTTGTCAGACTCCCTGAGGGTGGTGGGCTGTCTGTGTCCCAGGCTTGGTTGAATCTTGCTGGGTGATGATGTAATGAAGAGGATTGTGTTCTGAAAGGGTGTTGGGAAATTCCTATTACGGCTTAATGGCCTGGTTTGGATCTTGTGTGATGGCTAGTACTATCACCCTGGAGGTGAAGGTCTTTTGTTTTGTAGATAAGCTGGCCCAGTCTTTGGTCTTGTAGATAGGTTGGCTTGGCACTAAAATAACTGGACGCTGGAAGATGAGCCCCTTAGGTCGGAAGGTGTCCAATATGCTACTGGGGAAGAGCAGAGGGCGAGTACTAGTAGCACCAGAAAGAGTAAAGCAACTGGGCCAAAGCCGAAAGGATGTTCAGCTGTGGATGTATCTGGTAGTGAAAGGAAAGTCTGATGCTGTAAAGATGTATTCTCCATAGGAACCTGGAATGTAAAATCCATGAATCAAGGCAAGCTGGACGTGGTCAAACAAGAGATGACAAGACTGAACATCGACATCTTAGGAATCAGCGAACTATAATGGACAGGAATGGGTGAATTTAATTCAGATGACCATCAGGTATACTACAGCAGGCAAGAATCCCTCAGAAGAAATGGAGTAGCCTTCATAGTCAACTAGCTGATAACCTGACGTTGGCAGGGTATTTATTTATCCCGATCCTGTATTAGACGTGAAAAGCCATCACTCACTGTGGTGAGAATTAGAGACCTAATTGCCCTGGCAACAGCCTGGGAAAAGTTCTACAGGTGATTATATGTATTAGTAGGCACCTCCCCCGACAACTTGCCCTGTTTGCTTGAAGCTGAGGGCCTAGGGCAGTGGTTCTCAACCTTCCTAATGCCGCGACCCTTTAATACAGTTCCTCATGTTGTGGTGACCCCCAATCAGGGGTGGGTTCTAAATTTTTTTTACTACCGGTTTTGTGGGCGTGGCTTATTTTGTGGGTGTGGCTTGGAGTCATGTGACTGGGTGGGCATGGCTAGCTGGTCATGTGACCAGGTGGCCATGGCTATGTGTATAGGGACTACTCAAAGGGCTGAAAAAAGTCATTTCTGACAGGTCCTCGCACTTTTGACTGGTCCTCACACTTATGACCATCCTCACATTTATGCCTGTGCAGCATTCTTAACAACCATGTCACTCATTTCACAACTGCTTTTCTTCAACATGGTATAAGATAGGGCAAAAAATGTAAAATGTCAGGACAGTCGTAAATTCGAGGACTGGTCAAAAGTGCGAGGACCAGTCAAAAATAACTTTTTCAGCCCTCTGAGTAGTCCCTGTGCACAAAAGGACTACCCAGAGGGCTGAAAAATGTGATTTCTGACAGGTCCTCGCACTATTGACCGGTCTTCGCAGTTATGACTGGTCATCATTTATGCCCATTGTACCATTCTTAACAACCGTGTCACTCATTTCACAACTGCTTCTCTTCACCATGGTGACAAGATAGGGCAAAAACATAAATTGTGAGGACAGTCGTAAATTCGAGGACTGGTCAAAAGTGCGAGGACCAGTCAAAAATAACTTTTTCAGCCCTCTGAGTAGTCCATATGCATAAAAGGATACATAAAAGGATACAGCAATAGAGGAGGTGGTAGGTTTGAGGAGAAAGATTGCTGTACAATAAAAAAGATGAAAGGGAAGAACGCCAACCCCACACAAATATAAAGATATTAAGATAAAGAATGAATTGTTAAACTTTAAAGAATAAAAGAGAACAAATAGCAATAAATAGCAATAATTAGAAACACACATACAAACATACAACGTATTTTCTTTGAACAGAGTATTTCGCCGGTCCACAAATTTAAACAGTTGTAGGAGGTTAGCACCCACCCCTTTCCTAGAAGAATGAAATATTTTGGGAAATATTAAAAAGGCAGAATATTATATTTCCCTGGATGAGAAATGGAGAAGCATATTTTACAGACAAAGCAGCTCCCACCTTCCTGCCCCCCACCCTTTGTTAATGGGTCAGAGGCAGAAAGTCCATCCTTTGTCAAAGGACATTTGCAACACAATAGCAACAGAAACTAACACAATGGGCCCCATCGAGCCATGTGATCCTGTCCACCATTAAAACATCTTTCCAAACAGTCTCCATGTTTCCAGTGTCTTTTTCCCCACTTGGAGCAGAACCCAGAAGGATATTTCTTCCAACACAGTATTTAGTCATTTCAATTAAATTTACAATTTCTATATTTCCTTTTTACTATATTTATTCCTCATCTATTTTTTAAAAAAACCAACATTACCCTTCATCCTCATCTCTAATCTTAATCAAATTCAATTTTTCCCTTCTATTCTATATTATACCCCTTCGCATTGTCATCTATTTTCATATCCATCCTCACATTGGTTAATTATGTAATACAGTTGTTTAATACAAATTCAACATTTTAATATAAATCAATTAGTTATATAACTATCTTTTTTTGTATATTAATCAATATGAACATGAATATTCCAATTATTTCCAAGCAATCCAATTTCTTACAAATCAATTAATTATATTTATCAATAATAATAAACCAAATAATTTCCCCCATATATTCCTCCAAACCACAACTTAACCATTTCTGCTTTCAACACAATATACAATTAATAGTATCTCAATTATTACAATTCCCTAGTTAAATAGAGCTTTTTTTCTTTTGTGTTTTAAAATCTTGAACCTCCTCTTGCCCTAAATTTCCCATTGTTTGCAGTTTTGTACCTATCTGTTTTGGTGAGGAAAAAGAAAAAGAAATCTCTCTGCCTCATTTTGTCACATTGCAGCTAAGACCCTGCTTTCGCTTTCTCTTTTCAGCATAGCTAGGGGGGAAAAAACTTGCTCCAGGAATTTACCTCTTTGCAGGTAGCTCTTTGAAGCCCCGTGGCAAGAATTTAAAGTTTTTTTTCCCTCTAGCTATCAGCTGGGACTCCGGAGGCAGCAATAGATTGGGAGTGGGCGGGGTAAGCGAACGGCGACAGGGCGATCCAACAGAGGCAGAGGGTGAGGGTGAGTGAAGGCGTGGGGAGGGTGGCGAAAGAGGGCTTTGGCGACCCCTGTGAAATGGCCGTTCGACCCCCAAAGGGGTCGCGACCCCCAGGTTGAGAACTGCTGGCCTAGGGGTTTATTTTTTGTTTGTTTGTTTATTTAAGAATCAATTCCCCTTACCAGAGGGAGCCCCCTTGTGGAGTACTGTGAAGCTGTTACCATGGCAACTCCATTGTGATGTACATTAGAAGCCATTTTAAGACACAACAGGCTGAATCTTAACAGAACTTGAATACAAAATGCACACTATCACTGTCAAAAGTACTGTCATTTGACACTATAGATATAATTCATTCCTTTTCATTTCAGCAGCCCAGGCATTCCATAGTTATGTTGGAACACAGCCACACACCCACACCCTGAGGGGTGTTAGGAGTAACTTACCCCCACAGTATTTTTTTCCAGAGAGTAAGACATCTGTGTATCAAGTTGGGTTAAAATTGCTTGAGGTGTTCCAGAGTTATGCTGGAACACACAGACACAGACACAGACACGCGCACACACTCCAAGGGGTGTTAGGGGGGTCTTACTCCCACAGTATTTTTTTCCAGAGAATAAGTCATCTGTGTACCAAGTCTGGTTGAAATTGCTCCTAACAAAAAATTACGTAGGGCTTGTCCTTCTGCAGTCAAGCATGGGTAAAAATGGTATTTTTGTCATTCCTGGAGTGATAGATTCGGACTACACCGGGATTATTTATATTCAATAGTGGACCAATTTGCACCAAATTTTGCCCATTTATTCTAGCCCTGCTCAACTCCTGCTTTTGCCTTATTTTGTCCCAGCAGGGGGAGAGCAAAAGGAGAGTGGGGAAGGTTGGCTTCAGTTCCACTAACCTGGCCACTTGCATCATAGCTGCCATCACTACCCCGATAACATCCCAACAGCCCCGCCAGATCATTGTGTTGCAGGGTAAGGACACTGGAGTGGATGTTTGTGATCTCTGCCAAGCAGTGGCCTGCCACCTGAGCCCTGCCCAAGTGTGTGGGGTGTGTGGGGTTGTCAAAGTGCATGATTTCTTTCAACTCACTTGCCTAATTCAGATTTGATCATTCAGGTCCGCCCCTTTATATTACATATTCGTGTCAGCCTTTGGGAGCGCGACCTGCTCAGTAAATTGGGGGCCACCCTCACTTTGGAGGATTGAGACTACTGCCCTCCCGTTGACTTGGCTGGTTAAAGAGCCGGTGCGGATTGATCAATGGCCCATGTCACACGACAAATTGACGGCTCTCCACCAGTTGGTAAAAGATCAGCTGTTTGCTGGTCATGTTGTGCCGTTCACTAGCCCCTGTGTTTGTGATAAAAAAGAAAAGTGGCAACTGGCGTTCTTTGCATGATCTCCGTGCAGTTAATGCCTGTATTCAACCTATGGGCCCCTTGCAGTGCGGAATGCCCAATCCTAATTTGATTCTCCAAGACCATGAAGTGATGGTAATTGATTTAAAGGATTGTTTCTTTTCCATTCCTCTATGCCCCCCTAATCAGGAAAAGTTTGCATTTACCGTGCCTGCGGTGAATCATTCAGAACCTAATAAACATTATCACTGGATAGTTTTACCACAGGGAATTTATTTCTTTATTTCTTTATTGTTAAATTTGTATATCGCCCTTCTCCCTGAGGATTCAGGGTGGTGAACAGCCAAGTAAAAACATAAACTACAAACATTAAAATACGATTAAAATATATATATTTTAACAATGGATCCCCCCAGACCTGCCTGGGCCACCACAGGCGCCCCACGACACAAGAGATGTCGAGCTGGCCATGTGACATCACCCCACCATGCCCACCCACAAGATGAACCACAATCCTGATGTGGCCCTCAATCAAATTGTTTGACTCTGCTGGTCTGGTTTCTCTCCTGTGTGAGTCCTCTGGTGGTTCATCAAGGAAGAACGGTAACTGAAACATTTCCCACAATCTGGACACTTGCGTAGTTTCTCTCCTGTGTGAGTCTTTTGATGTTTCACCAGACTGGAATTGAGACTGAAGTTTTTCCCACATTCAGGACATTCAAAAGGTTTCTCTCCTGTGTGAGTCCTCTGGTGTATCACCAGGCTGGCATTCTGACTGAAACATTTCCCACACTCAGGACATTCAAAGGGTTTCTCTCCTGTGTGAGTCCTCTGGTGTTTCACCAGGTTGGAATTGTGACTGAAACTTTTCCCACACTCAGAACATTCAAAGGGTTTCTCTCCTGTGTGAGTCCTCTGGTGTATCAGCAGGCTGGAAATAACACTGAAACCTTTCCCACAATCAGGACATTCGAAGGGTTTCTCTCCTGTGTGAGTCCTTTGATGGATCACCAGACTGGAATTGTGACTGAAACTTTTCCCACAATCAGGACATTCAAAGGGTTTCTCTCCTGTGTGAGTCCTCTGGTGTATCACCAGGTGGGAATTCTGACTGAAACTTTTCCCACAATCAGGACATTCAAAGGGTTTCTCTCCTGTGTGAGTCCTCTGGTGTTTCACCAGGCTGGAATTCTGACTGAAACGTTTCCCACAATCAGGACATTCAAAGGGTTTCTCTCCTGTGTGAGTCTTTTGATGTTTCACCAGACTGGAATTGAGACTGAAGTTTTTCCCACATTCAGGACATTCAAAAGGTTTTTCTCCTGTGTGAGTTCTCTGGTGTATCAACAGGCTGGAATTGACACTGAAACCTTTCCCACAATCAGGACATTTGAAGGGTTTCTCTCCTGTGTGAGTCCTCTGGTGTTTCACCAGGTTGGAATTGTGACTGAAACTTTTCCCACACTGAGAACATTCAAACGGTTTCTCTCCTGTGTGAGTACTCTGGTGTATCAGCAGGCTGGAATTGACACTGAAACTTTTCCCACACTCAGAACATTCAAAGGGTTTCTCTCCTGTGTGAGTACTCTGGTGTATCAGCAGGCTGGAATTGACACTGAAACCTTTCCCACAATCAGGACATTTGAAGGGTTTCTCTCCTGTGTGAGTCCTCTGGTGTTTCACCATGTTGGAATTGTGACTGAAATTTTTCCCACAATCAGGACATTCAAAGGGCTTCTCCCCTGTGTGAGTCCTCTGATGTTTCACCAGGCTGGAATTCTCACTGAAACTTTTCCCACAATCAGGACATTCAAAGGGTTTCTCTCCTGTGTGAGTCCTCTGGTGTCTTACCAGGTGGGAATTTGCAATGAAACTTTTCCCACAATGTGGACACTCATATGGTTTCTCCCTGGTGTGAGTCCTCTGATGTATCACAAAGTTGCCATGCTTGCAAAAGCATTTACCACATTGGGAGCAGTTGTAGGGCATCTCTACTATGAGGATCTTTCTATGAATCGCAAGGGAGCTATTCTGACTAAAGTTTTCCCACATTCAGAGTATTTATATGGCTTTTGTTCAGTGTAGATCCTCTTGTGATTTGAACTCTTTACTTTTCCCACAATAGGCACATCTATGGAGCTTTTCCATCACTGACATTCTTGAGGAGGTCAAAAATATGTGTGATTCCTTATTTTATTGGTGCCTGCATTACTGGCTGCCATATGTGACTATCCAATTGAAATTTTCTTCCCCACTGGCTTCCAGATATTTCCCTCTTTTTCTGAACGGAAAAATGATCTCCTTCGACCTTTTCGAGTAACGTATTCTTAAATTCTATATAATCTACTTTTTCCAGCTGCAAATCTCTTCATGATTTTCTCTTTTCTGTCTCTTAGCTGCTGATGAAGTAGACAAATTCTGCAGCTTTCTGAAGGAAATAGAACATATTTTTATTTCTGCTTCAATTTGCTTTGCTTTTCAATGTTGCTTGTTATTCTCAGTTGTCCAGTGTGCTTATGTTGGCATCATCTTTGTCTGTAAGATTCAAAAGAAAGTATTATTGTTTATGAAAGGGTTGCAGAAGATGTGAAAAAAAGAAGTACAGGTAATCCTTTAGGTACGACTGGCCATTGAACAAATTTCTGAAGTTACAACACTCCCCCAAATGCTAAAAACGAATCTGCTCCAAAGTTGAATTTCTGCAGCGCCTCTCACCCCGGGAGTCCTTGACTCCTTCACTGCAGAGATGCTGCAGCATACCCACCCATCTATCTCCCTTCCATCTTGCCCAGTCAGTCCTCACAATCCCCAGACCCCAGTATGTTGGCCTGCTTTGCAATATACTATGCATTCCTCCCCAACCCCACTCCCCCATCACCATTCACTTAGGAAATTTCTGACGAGCTCAGGAAGTCAGCTGGGCCACGTGGCATAATCAAGAAGAAGAAATATAAACTCTTTTCTTTCCATGGCAATTCTTTCACTCCAGCCAGCATAAATCGTTAGTGATTTACCCTGGCTGAGGAGGAAAGGATTGCCATGGAAGCAAAAGAGATGAGATTTCTTCTTTGCTCTACCAGCACAACACTAATGTAAAGCTAGTGCTAGTGGGGCTAAGAAGAAATCATGCCTATTTTGCTTCCGTTGCAATCCTTTTCTTTCCAATCAGCATAAACTACTATGATTTCTTCTTAGCGACACCGGCACTAGTTTTATGCTGGCGAAGAGATCTAAGAAGATTTTGTCATCGTTTACACTGGCTGGGGAGGAAAGGATTGTCATTGAAACAAGAGATCATATGTCTTCTTTGCTCTATCAGCGCTAACTTTACGCTAGTCTTACGCTGGTAGAGCAAAGAAGAAATCCCATCTCTTTTGTTTCCATGCCAATGATCCCAAGCTCAACAGCAAATCTACAGCAGAATGGCTGAAAAAGAAAAGAATCAAGGTTTGCAATAGCAAAAGAGATGAGATTTCTTCTTTGCTCTACCAGCACAACACTAATGTAAAGCTAGTGCTAGTGGGGCTAAGAAGAAATCATGCCTATTTTGCTTCTGTTGCAATCCTTTTCTTTCCAGTTAGCATAAACTACTACGATTTCTTCTTAGCTACTGGCTTTTCTTTTGTAAAATACATGGTGACCAGTGCTGGATTGGTACCGGTTCGGCCCGGTTCGGCTGAACCAGTATTAGCGGTGGCAGGAGGCTTCGCCCACCCGCCCGGACCTCATCAAATATGCTCTGTGCATGCGCAGAAGTGGTGCATGTGCATGAACCATTAGCAAAGGTAAGGGAAACACACCATTGATGATGACGTGATGTAATATGTCATGTGTTGTTTATTTTGATTTTGATTTTATTTTATTTTGAATTTGCATACTGCCCTTCTCCCTGAGGACTCAGGGCGGTGAACACCCAAGTAAAAATATCAAGTACAAATATTAAAATACAATTAAAAGATATATATGAATTTGGCCCCATTAATTAAAAACGATAAACAAAACAATTAAAAACACGTAAAAAATTATGCCAGCCTGGTTTGCTGGAAAAAGAAGGTTTTAAGGGCACGGCGGAAGGCTCTGAGGTCTTGGATTCTCCTTATCTCTGGGGGCAACTGATTCCAGAGGGTAGGTGCCCCCACAGAGAAGGCCCTCCCCCTGGGGGTCACCAGCCTGCACTGTTTGGCTGATGGCACCCCGAGGAGGCCCTCTCTGTGGGAGCGCACGGGTCGATGGGAGGTCGTTGGTGGCAGCAGGCGGTCTCGAAGATAGCTAGGCCCTATGCCATGGAGCACTTTAAAGGTGATAACCAACATTTTTTTTTTTATTGAAAAAGTTTTCAAATACAAATTTCCCCCCCCTTTTTTTCCCCCTCTCCCTCCCCCTCCCTAACCCCCCCTCCCCACCCATCCCCCCCTGTGACTTCTTCATAACAAAAAAAAAACCTAATTCATAACAGATTACTTACTCCCTCCTCTAGATATTGACCTTTACTTACTAAAAATATTATTAATATTATAACATCCCCCTTTATCCATACATATCAAAAAAGAGAAAAGAAAGGAAAAAAAAAAAGACATTATACTATGACATTATAAAATAACTTCTCCACTTTAAAACTATACGATAAGTCCTACTTTAACATTTAATCTTCTATATATATTACTATAACATTCCAAAGCGGCCTTCCCCATAAAATCTAGTTTAACATTTATTCCACTCTATCCATTTCCTCCACTCCCCTAAATATAACACTTAAAAATCCCTTTTCTTAGACTAATCAATCTACTAAATAGCTTATTCACCCACTATCATACAAAATTGCCATAGACAACATTTCTTAACATCTTTGATTCACTGCCCACACTTCTTAAAAATATATGTCTATATTTTCCATTATATCTAAATAAAAAAAAAGAAAAGACAATGACTTTAAATTTATAATCCATATAGTATCTTCTTTGAGGTCTTTCCACTGGATTGGTAGAACCAACATCCATAATCGGGTAACATAGCTTACTGGTGCAACAGTTTATTCAGGATCTTCAATCATATCTGCCCCCATCAGTAGTAAATATCTTCTTATATGTATAAAAGTAAAAACAACCACCCGAGTGACATTATAATTATATTCCATATAGTAATAATTGTGGGTTTCATCAGGATTATTAATTCCCATCATCGTAGTGGGTAACAACCCGATCTTCTGCATGCCCCAGCATAATTCTCTTGCCTTGTGATTCAAGATAATATAATATGTTTATCAACACAAAAAGAAATTCCAAAATGGATAATTCAAATCCATCAGTTTAAGGCTCGTTTCACGTCCCCAGATTACGGCCATGCAGAGATCTGCCACAAACCTCAGGATGATATTAACCAATACGTCGCCTCTTCTGTGTTTACACATAATCGTTCATATTTTAAAATCACTGGCTTCACTGTTGCCTGATTAGAAATTTCTGTTTTTATGCCACCTATTTCTTTTTTTCTTTTCTTTTTGTGGGTTTGGTTTCCATCCTGGTTCCCTTTCTGTAAAGTGTGTATCATCTGGTCGGTTTTTATTCTGCTTTGTAGATTGGTCTTGTTGGTTTTGCTTTTGTATCTCATATTTCTTTTTTATCCCTTGTATATCCCCTAATTGGTTTCCATGTTTATCCTTGCCTTGATAAGTCATCACATTAAGATTAGATGCCTCTTCTCTCAAATTTGTAGATAGTCCAGCTGGGGTATCCAATAAATCCAAAGGCAATTCATCTGGTACAGTCTCTGTAATTCGATATTTTACCTTTATTTCCGGCTCCTTCTGCTTATCCTGTATTATACCTGGAGATGTTAAGTTCATTTTCAACCTATTTTGATAAAATTCTTCCGCTCTTTCAACAGTATTTAGCTGATATCTTTCTCCTTGGTATCTAAATATAATACCCACTGGGGCGTCCCACCTGTAGGAGATATTTCTCTTTTTTAACTCATTCACCAGAAAACCAAATTTCTTCCTTTCCATCAATATCTTAGGTGGGAGTTCCTTGTAAATCCAAATCTTTCTTCCATACAATTGCAAATTAGAATTGAAGGAGTTTTGAACGATATTATTCCTAATCTCCTTATCTGTAAAATAAATCACCACATCTCTAGGCCATTGCCTTTGCTTAGCAATCCAGGAGTTGATTCGATAAACTCTGTCGATCCTACAAAACACTTCGTCAGGTTGAACCTTTAGAATCCCAGCTAGAAATTCAGAAGATATTTTCCTTAAATCATCTCTATTATTTTCCTGCAAACCTCTTAATCTTATCGCATATTCTGTAAAATTATATTGTACCATTAACATCTCTTTTTCAATCTTCTGTTGCAGATTTTCTGCATTACCATACTTTTGATCAGCATCCATTTTAGGTTTTTCTTCTAAGCTATTATCCTGAGTGTTTGTCAAATCATTTTCAATTTTTTGAATTCTATTGTCCAATTTATCTTGAATTTCTTCCATTTTAGACTCTAGTACAATAGTATTTGTGTCCAACTGTTTCATAAATCCTGTAAAACCATTAACCACTTTTGAGAGTTTTTTCTCCAAAAAATCAAACTTAGATTTCACCAATTCTTTAATTTCCTGCTTAAATTTTTCAAATTGCTGATTCACAATCTCCTCCCTTCTTTCAATCTCCTCTATAAAAAATTCTATTATATTAAAGTCAGGTTTCTGAGACTGAAGAATTAAGACTTGTTCCTTTAAGTTGTTGGTGGGGGGATCCCCCCCCTTCTTGTTTATCTGACTTTATGAGTCTCAGTGCCATGTTTCCGCCCAGGCAGGCTTTGTTAAAAAAAAAGCAAAAAAAAAGCAAGAAAAAAAAAAGGGACTTCTTTCCAATCAACAACAATATCAGGTCTCCAAGGGAAAAAAAAAGAGAAAAAGACACAGGAGCAAAGTTTTGTCTACAAATGTAGCC